AAATGTAATAATTTTATATTAGGCCCTTGTTTGTAATTATTTTCATTTTTTGGGCCCTTATTTGTAAATTCCCCTAAAAATTTTTTACAAATATTAAATAACAAAGCCCAAATTTATTATAACAAATTAATTTTTGAATAACAAAAAAACGCATATATTGTATTATTAAATGTTTTTATTATTAGTTAAGTTCTTTTATTATTTCTATTTTATTTTTGAATGAATTTAAACACAACGACTATCACAAAAAAAACTAAAGAACCCATAAGTGCAAGTTGCACATTAAACAATAATGCAAAGTTATAATAATATTTGAGAAAATAAAAAACTAAATTTAATTATTAAACTATAAAAATAACCATTTTATCAAAAAAACCAATCTTGCTTAAAAATAATTTTCTTTTTAAAAAAATAGGATATAAAGTTACAAAATAATATTCGAATAATATTCAAGCGAATAAAAAAAAACAAATTTAATTATTAAACTATAAAAATAGCCTTTTCATCAGGAAAACCAATCTTGTTTAAAGATAATTTAACACTCTCCATCATATCTGGAGGACCACAAACTATAACTCTTAATTGACGTAAATTATCATTTGCTAACTGTTTCATATACTCATGCCTTTCATTAAGAATTACCATTGCATTTGTTGGAGTATAAATAGGTGATTTTAATTCAATAATTGGTGACCTAGTTGGAGACCTAGATAAAGGACTTTCAGTTTGATCAATAGATGTTGGAGACATGGTAACTATATGATCATTAGATTGATTAAAAGAATTGGCATTATAAAGTGCTTCAGGATTTGTTATAATTGGACTAAGTGGAGGTTGATTTGATTGAAATTTCATAATATTTGGTCTTTCTGGAATTTCAGGAGGTTGTTGAACATCGTAATTTGTACTAATCCAATGGTATAATAAATTATCGTCAATAGTTCCTACATAACCTTTCCACGCTGGTGGTGCTCTTGATATAATAAACTCTACATTAAATCTTCCATCACTATTATCTTGAAGATATAAAAGATATTTAAGACTAATTATATCAGCAATCGAATGATTAGCTGTAAGTAAATAAATATGAAATTTCGAGTCTCTGTGATCTAAATGATATTGAATCTAGTTTGACATAAAATAATATTTTAGTAATTTAAATTATTTTCTAAATGATAGTAAATAATTAAAGGCTTACCAATTGAAGCGCAGGTGTTATTCCTGTTTAAAATAATAGAATTTAAGATAGAGAAAAAATTTTATAGCAAATAATTTGTAATTAATAATTTACAATAATAATACTAACAAGAATAATAATATAATAATAATAATAATAATAATAATAATAATAATATTATTATTATTATTATTATATTATAATCATACTAATAATAATAATTATTGTAAATACCTGTACCACCGCAAACGAGGAAAAGGTAATCCCAACATTTATCTGGCCTAGCATGATTTAATAAAATTCTAGAAGAAGGTTGAGCATTATCTTCACTAGAAACACTTTCATAACCACTATATATTGTATTAGATTTTGCATAAGAAAGTTTACGACTAGTCGTGCTTAAACTCAAAACACTTGCACGTAATCTACGTCGTAAACCTAATTCAGAAGGTGGGGGTGATATAGATTGTTCAATTCGATCTGATACATCAAATGGTCCTCTAACTGCAATCTCAAAATTTTTAAGTTGTTTACCCTATACAAAAAAAATATATATTTATAAAATAATTTTGTATTATAATTTTTATACTGGTAAAATGATTTATAAAAAAAAGTAATCTTACCAAATGTTGAGACATAACACCATCTTTATATATTTTAACAATGATTGAAAAGGTATTACTAGAAGGACCTTTAAGTAGTGTATATGGTCTGACAACAGTTGATTTATTTGTATAGCTCATGATTTCAATATAATCACCGGGTAAAATTTCAGGTAATTTTTCATAAGGATGAATAACTTGAAAAGTAAGTTTTTTTACTGGATTTTCAGCATCATATCTAGCAACATCTTCAATATTTGTAAGAATATATCTTCTAAATATTTCTGGTGAAATTTTTGGTGTAGTAAGCATTGAATATGGTAATATTCCATCAACTACTGGTCTTGAAACATTTTCATCATCATAATCAGAAATACGTGCTATTAAAAAAAAGGTTAGTTAAATTTATAAAATGTATTTATCTTTTAATAATAATTATAATAATAAAATTCTTTTTACCGACAACCATAGTTGCTAATTTAGCAGTTGCAAATTTAGAATGTCTATGCATGGCAACTCGAGTATTTTTAAATGTAACACTATTAAGTAAATCGATTGATCTTGCAACAGAATTTGGAACATGATGGTTTGGTTTCTTATCTTTATATTGAATGTTTGAATATTTTATAGGACCATCAATAAAATCATTGGATTGTAATAACTCATGTTCTTTATCAAAGTTTTTTGAGATAACCATTTGAACATTTGGATCAAAAAAGAAGTCATTGGTAATATCTGTCCCAATCTTTTTTTAAAAATTTTTTTTAATGTTACAATTAATAATAAACTTTGAATTTTTTTAAAAAAAAATTCAAGACAAATCAGGTACATACCACTCTGCGTAAAATTTTTTGACCACCAGGATGAATTTTAATCCAACTATGAATATCAAATACTAATCCTTCAGCAACAACGAGGCATGCACCAGATAAAACTCTTTCATTAAATTCCTAGAAAAAGATGTTAAAATAAAAATACAGAAAATTGATACTTTTAATTACATAATTACATTCATTACAGTAAATGTTGTTGCCAATGCTGAGATTATTTTAACGAGAAGACTTAGGATTATGAATAAAAGAGTATATAAACAGATTTCAATAGATTATAATAGATTTAATATAAATAGATTTCAATAGATTATAATAGATTTAAATAGAGGGTTTAAAACTTTATAATATCCAATCTCAGCATTAGCATTAGTTGCAACAATAAATATATTATTATACATACACTCCAAGTATAAGCAGGAAGCAATTCATAGATTTTTTCTGGAATTCTTTTATGAATTCGCAGATTTGTATCACTCATTTCTCGTGATGGCCATAAAAATTGTAAATTCTTGACCTTGTAATAAAATTCACTTGCAAAAAATATCAAGGCCAACAAAACTAAAAAAAAACCATGTGCGAGCATATATATATTGATATCAAAAAACACAATATATATGTATATATTATTATTTGAATATTAAATATGTATAAATAATTACCAAACCAAGCCAAGTATAAATAAGTCACAATAGTTGTGTTAACATTATAATTTACACCAAATTGAGTTATTCCAAGGTATACATTAACCCTATTTTATAATTAAACATTAAACAGAATTAATTCAATTAAACAAACTTTTATTGAAAGATTTTCACAATTAATGTCATTACCATGCACATGCCATCAATATTGCACCAAAATAAAAATGAAAATGTTTTAATCCACGTACTATACCAGTTGCTAATAATAATGTGAATAACCAGTAATATAATTAGAAATATTTTCAAAAAGATTGTCAAAAAAATTTAATAAGATATTATTATTATTTCTTACAAGCAGATTCAACATGAGCCAAGCCAAATATTGCCAATAATCCTAGCGCGACTTGAATAATCAAAGCAACATAAATTGTAGTACCAAGACTGAATACAAAATTTAAGAAGAAATTTTAATTAAAATTACATATTATTGTTTACTAATAATAATAAATATCATACATACATTCCATGTGGAACTCTAAATTGTACAGTAAGCGAAGACATTGCTACAGCACCAAAGACTCCAACACAGACAGCACCAATAATTTGGAGATTTCGATGCTAAACATTAACAATTAGTAAACATGTATGTATATGACATTTGTAATATATACTACTAACAAAACAATTACATACTTGAAACATATATGAATTCCTATGTCTCATATACCTAACGATCCATATTGACACTAAGTATTAAGTAAAGAAATGTAAGAAAGTTGACATAAACCAACCCTTTTAAAATTAGTTATTGATTTTTTAGTAAAATACCTGGGAATAAGACACTATAAAGTATTTAGAAATGTATTAAAATTCTTAAGTATGACGATTATGAAGGAAAAAAAAAAGTGATATGTTTTTGTACGTACCACCACATTGAAAACATGCCAATTCCATGAACCAATTGCATATCTCTGGCTTGATTAGTAACAGAGCCAAAAGTTGATGCAGAAAATAAGTTAACACTCAAGGATCCTCGATTTCCACCATGATAAGTTAGTATACTGACTTCTGGATTGAAGGCATAAATTGCTGCAAAGGTAGGTAATTTAAAAAGAAGTTAATTTAAGAAATAATTATTTAAAGATAATTTTTTAGAGGTAATTATTTAGAGGTAATTATTTAAGATAATTATTTAAAGATCATTATTTAAAGATCATTATTTAAAGATCATTATTTAAAGATCATTATTTAAAGATCATTATTTATAGATAATTATTTAAAGATCATTATTTAAAGAGCATTATTTAAAGATAGTTATTTAAAGATAATTATTTAAAGATAATTTAAGAGAATTATTTAAAGAAAATTTAAGAAGTGAATAAATAATAATAAATAAATTACTTGTTATTGCGGTATTAGTAATTGGTCGTCGATCACGAGCGTTAAGGGGACGTTTTACTTCCACTTGAGTGTACCCATTAGTTGCATTTTGACTTAAGACAGTAAGAAAAGTACTAGTTAAATCACGAACAGGTTTTTGATAAGCGGTAGGTCTATAAAGACCAACGTCTATCATAGAGCTATTTGAAGTTACAATTATCATATCTGCATCCTATAAAAAGAAGTTAAAATTAGCATTAATTTTAAAAAAAAATTTCAAGACATCAAAATAAAAATATATTCATACCAACATGCCACCATCCAATGGATTAAATCCAATGCCAAACCAGGCATTTGTACTTTGCATTGTCATCAACAAATAAAGATCATTACCATCAATTCTCCATTGGACTTGATAAGTATTGGAGAATTTTAGAATGTTAAATGGTGAATAGGAACTAGAACCGGTAGCATTAGGAGCGACTATTGGTTGAACTACCCATAGATTTGTTGGTAATGAAGCTTTACTTGGAATGTTTCTAGCAATCAACATAGCCAAAGTTGTATTGTGAATTGTATCTATTTCAGCAGCAGTAAATCCTGCATCAGGTGATTCATACCTATAATAGATAGGTAAATAGAAAAGCAAATAAAATAAATAAATAAATAAATAAAACTAAAATAATTTAAATGCTCTTATTAAAAAGACACTGACCAAAATCTATCAAAATCGCGTATATTGGTCCACTAAATAAAAAGAATATATTATAACTATTTATAACTATTTTTATTTTTAAGAAAATGGTATAGTAAAAAAATACCTGGTCAATATAACTATTATAAAATAAAGGACCAAGATTTGAACCAGGAACATGATCCTCAGCAAGGCCTCCAGAAAACGATTCGACTTGGTCAATAGTACCATATGCATCACGTAAACGTTTTTGTACAACAGGATCTGATGAAATATCCGACCAATCAGTAGCTCGAGTTAAACCGTAATATTTTCTCGCGTCATTATATCTTGGTATTCCATGATCACGCCCTCTTATACAATCAAGACTAATTATTAATAAATTTATAAACATTTAATTAATAAATAGATAACTACAAAAATCTGGATTGAAAAAAAAGAATGAGGACATAAATATTGAGCACCTGACTACATCCATTAGTTCAGATTTATACATATAATATCGCATCTGGTCAGCAATATATATGTCAACTTCTTCTTGCCTATAAAAGTGTAATAAAAAGTGTATAAAGTGTAAAAACAATGGTTATCTTATAAATTAGATTATATAGATTATATAGATTATATGAAATGACTAATGGAAAGTAGCAAATACATTTGAAGAGCCATCGATGCTATAAAAGTAGGAACACCATACAACTCACTATCAAATAAACGATGTTAAAATAAGAAGTATAATAAAACTACAAGAACATAAATAATTAATAATAATTACAGTAAATGAGGTGTTTGAAGTGAGTTTAATTGTAAAGTAGTAATAACATGTCCTTTATCATCAACAATATTATAATAATCGCTTTTAAAGAAAAAAAAAGAATTGCTTAGAATGGTATCTTCAGTGCTATAAACAATAACATATGACAATAATATATGACAATAACATATGACAATTACCTAACTTCACTATGACCATAACGCATTGAAGTCTAATTTCATAACAAGAATTAGACATGACATTATATACACGGCATCAGAGAATAATAATAATAATAAACTTACTGTCGCAAAGAAAGTTTCAATAACTGGTTTAAGATTTGGATTATAACCTTTGTAAACCGGTAAGGGAGTTCCTAAAAGGATCCCAACTAAACAAATGGATGAAAAGTCATTGATTAAATAGAATAAGAATAGGAAAATAGCTATATATATAAATATAAATTCTAAATAATAACACTACTTACCATATTCATAATAAGTTATCTTTTGTAAGAGTGCAATAACCCATCTTCTCGCTTCTTGAAAGTAAGTTTCATCATTCCAATCATCACCATGGATCGCATATAATTCATTACATCGTCTGTTATGTTCGCGTAAAAAAATAACGAAAAACATATCTACAATGATATGAATATTAGATGAACTTGAAGAATTCAAATTTATGTATGCTTTTACTAACCTGTGAAAACGTTCCTGCCCTTAACCGATGTATATCTATTGTTTAAACAATTTATTTATTAACATCTTATTTCTAATTATTAATTATTAATTATTGCCTATTGCTAATGAAGCCATACCCGAATATATATTCTCCATTTTGGTCCTGTATAGTGAAATAATAAATTTAAATATTTAACACGTTAAATTTGCGTTAAATCTTACTTTAAAGCAAAAAAAAAGATTACCTTGGGTGGATACCCAAATTTACTATCTTCTGATTGATCAGAAGTTATGAGTCGCATTTTTCCTCTGTTACCAGTATCGCGAATCAAGGAAGTTTGATCATTAGTTACACCGTAAATATGAGACGCGTCAACAAAAGGTGTACCAATGTTAACTCCAGCATTTCCAGGTGCTTGAGAGCGATTGAATGGTAGATATTGCTATTAACATAATCAATGCGCAGTAAAAAATCATTTGAGTCACGTGTCTTCTTGTTTGCTTGTTTGCTTAGTCTTTAGTTATAATTAGAAATCTAGTAACGACCAATAACTTACTTGAGTTATTGTGTAATTTTGGCCAACTATATAACTTGAAAGATAAGTTTTATCATCAGTGGGAATATAGATTCCTTGCGGAAAATATTGACCAGTATCTGGACCAACACTAACCTAATTAGCAATTAAAAGGTTTGATTATTTTAATTAATGCATTAAATGATGAAGGATTAAAAAAATAAGGAAATTGATGATTTGATATACGATACATACATCCATCTTGATGAACAGTCCCCTATAAATACCAATAATACCAATTATGGTTAATGTGAATTTAATGACTTGTACTAATACTTATTAACTTACTCACCAATAAGTCAACTTATATTATTTTTAAATGTATTATACATTATCGTTATTATAATTGTCAGTTATTATTAATTATTCACCGTTTCACTATGACAACATAAGAGAATAATATAGAAGCGTATGATCTTACCACATGTGATGTACTTCTTTTTGATTTGAATTGTTGCAAGTACGTCAAATTAAAAACATCATTCGGTTGTAATCGATACGAATGAAGAATGTTACTGATGCATCTAGGTAAGGGAAGATTACCAAGTGGTAACTTATCGGCGCAACTTGCACCCGTTGCAATTGTTGTATAATTTCCTGGAGTGGATACCATAGTACCGACACCATCTTGAAAGAAGTCCAAAGGTACTTTTTGTCGTACAAATGGCATATTTATTATACCCAAATTATTTTTATCATTATTAGTTCCATTTAATGTTCGATATTCACTTAAGACTACATTCTTAAAGGTAAGGATATAAATTAGAAAGATTATGGTATTAAGTTTTGGTTTGTATGCGACCATCTTTACGTATCTGAACCGAAAATGATATGAATTGATATTTGAACCGAAAAATGATATGAAATGAAAATATTCCCGAATCATAATATTTATACGCATACTCTAAACTATATGTACGTATGCAAGGTATGTAAATAACAAATATCTATATACCAGACATATATCATTAAAATTTTAAAAGTACAGTACTGAACTACTAGTTATGGGAATATTTTCCATATTAAGAATATATAAAGTGATCACAAATGCTTATAAACATTTTTTACGGTAATTCTATTAATAAATATAAAATCTTATATTGTCTCAAAAATAGTGTCAAAATCGAATCTACGCCTTTGTTTACGTTTAATGCGGACCAAAAGTTAAAAGTAACACTAACCTCAATTTGATATTCTTATTTTTATTTTTTTTTATTTTTTATTTTATGATTCTTCTGTACCAATTACTATTGCTATTAATAATTACGATCAAATACGTGCATATCAGATATTAATATGTAAATATATATTCAAGATTAACCCCCATTTGAACTATATCTTGGTTACATGAAAATTAAGTTAATACAATTTAATATATACTAGAAAAAAACAGGTATGTACATGTACATACCTACTGCCTTTCCGTGTTGATCCACGATAATCTCTTCAGTTTAATTGGTTAATACAGTAAACTAATAATATAAACCGAATCAACTACTCTACAATAGAGCGAATCATTTCATCAATTTTCTTTTCCTCTAATCGGGAATTAAAGACGGGTATAACTATTATATTGTTAATTTTTTTTTACAATACAATTAGAGAGATGCTGGTGAAATTAATTTCACAACTATCGCTATAATTTGATTCAGAGCGTGATTCGGATTAATTTTTTATATGCTAAAACTTGTTTTGCCTGTTGAACATATTTAAGCATATGAGAATAAATCCTGACTACTGGATCTTAACTTTGACATTAACTTTATTAAGTGCGAGAACTTACCTTTATCGTTATATACATTTGTAAATGACTTAATTGATTAAGCGATTTAATACTATATACGTAAAAAGTGTCGAAATATTAAAATCAGGAAATGAAAAAAAATGCACGCGCTGCGTATGCACAATAGTGCTGTATGAGCATTTTCCCATCATATGGTTATTATAAATCTTAAATAGTTAGTATTTATATGCATGACAATCTTAAACACTATTTAACACTATTTATATCCATATACGCATTATTATTTTTTTATGAATGTAATTATATTTAATACTATCGCAAAAATCAAATTTTGATTGAAAATAAAATAAATCGATGTACTTGTTATAAAAAAAGTGTGGCCTTGTGATTTTCACGATAATGATGTATGTAAGAAATTTCTAAGATTCTAAATTGTCTATTGGAATTTTAAAAACTGTTATAAACAAGAAATCTGCAAGAATCAGTTCTGTTTCACACATATCTGCATGGTCACACCTAGTGATATATTCCATAATTGTAGAAATAATTCCATAATCGTTTTTTACAACTGTTTCAAAAAGTAGTGGAAAGATGCAGATCATTATACAATAGGGGAATTGTATACCTAAGTAGAAAATCAAAAAAAAATGGAAAATTCTGATTAGTAAAAATTAAAGGTCCGGTTAGAGATGGCTTTGAAAATTCTGAAATTTGCGAATATCCCATGATACGGTGATCTGCATCTGTTCACCCCATTTTGACACCTCTTTGATGCAAAATATTTAAAAGATATCAATAAAGCAACTAATGCCTAAATAAACACTGTTGTGGAATTTAAAAATCGTTTGCGGAATTATTTCACAATTGTGGAAATCATTCCCCTGCATCACTAGTCATACGTACCTTTTAATAACGATAACAATAACGATAATTGGATCTCTTAATAAAATGTATCATTTGTACAACTAATAAAAGAGTTTTTTAGCATAAAAAGAAATTTTCAATAAAACTGTTATGCTACGTAAAGTTGTAGAAAAAAGTACTTTACTATTCGCTGACATGTTCGGCATTTTAGGATTGGTGTCACAACTTGGGGATGGTACATTAATTAAAGATATAGAGGTCGTTAGGTTATGATCATTATGTAATTTACTATAATGTTTTGTTAAAAATGCAATTAGAGAACGTCAAAAAGTAAGAGATCTATTATAAGATAAAGACCAAGAACTAAAAAGTTATCTGTATGGAAAGTCTACCCTTAATAACGACAAACAACCCTTTATATGTTCGTTTATTACCTTCTGATCGGTAAGAAAAGCAATTATGTGATTATGTAGAATCGTTATTACTAATAAAAGTATTATTACATAACATTGGTTGGGAACTGTTCAAAGGTGAATTCGGAAACAAATTTAAAAAAAAATGGCCTTTTTAATTTACTTTCGGCCTATCCCTTACTATGTTTTGCAAGCAACTTTGTATTTTCTGGACAAATTATTAATCTATGGGTAGTTTCATTCTATGATCCTCGAAAATTGTTATTCTTTTTAGCACACGGCCTCTCTATCCTTTTATTTCTTCGGCGCTTTTTAGGAGTCCTTTGAAATCACGATCTTGTACTACCTCAAAATGTCCGTTCGAACTTTTACCGACATACTGCAGAACTGCACAAGCAATTTTGGGGGGCTAAAAATGGATGTAAGTCATAGGCAGACATTCGTCTGATTGGTTGATGAAATCAATTGTCTGGGTACCTTATTTATACAGTTTAAAGTACTTTTTGAGAACGTAACATTTCCATAACAAAAAATCACTGTAAAAGCCATTTCAAACTTCGAAAGAACGTCTATATTCATTATGCAAAATAATCATACATAATCAGTAACCTCAAGAATTTCACTTAGAACCGAATATTTTTACTATTTATTTTTAGTACTAGTCATATTAACTACATGTAAGTTCTAAATTCTGAAAATGTCCAACAAAAAAAAAAAGGTTAAGACATTATGCGTAAGATCTAAATTAATGAACTTTGTTTATACTGTTACGGGATTGATTAGAGGCCAGTGTTCCCTCTAAATATCTAGACTGATCGTAGAGCTTCGCTTTTGAGGTCTCAAGGGATAGGCCTTTTGGGTAAAGCTTTTATTTTTTATTGTATTTTTTCGCGTACCTGGGAAAAAAAATCTCTTTAATAATTACATTTTCGATCTATTTATATCATCCCTATGACTACAATGTTCACGCAATTAACTATAATACTATGACGATACTATGACTACATTATTTATTTATAAATGGGATCGGGTTTTTAATAATAAATATTTCATTTAACTTTATGTGATAAATTCTTTTTACGTAATTATTAAGTTTTTTTCGTCTTCTAGCTGTATTTAAAATATTAAAACATTTTAAAAATTATGTAATTTGATTGGTTAAATATCACGTGCAATCTCGCCAAAATTAACCAATCATATGAATTTCTTCCTCTGAGGGGATTTTCCGATCACGTGAACTGTTATAAAATTTTTTTGTTATTTACTTGGCTCAATAATAACAAAATTACTTGAGGAAAATTTTTATTTAGAACACCAAAGGTAGTTTGGAATTTTTGCAGGTCATTTTCGGAAATTTCGGAAAATTAAGTTTGCCATTGATTTATTGAACAAATTATTTTAATACAATTTGCAAGGGTACATTTTTCAAATCAAAGACATAAGGTTTTTATATTATATATTTTTTCTCTTTTTGATAACAATTTTTATTTATGTGATTTTATTAAAGAATTAACGGAGGGAAGGGATCCGACTTTTCTCCCATGGCCCTTTTATAGATGTAGGGTTCCTATCCTTATCCGTTTATCTATCGGATATCCAGATCTGAATTTATTTTGGATACAATTTATGAGTTAACAATAATAATTTTCGCTTAAATCAACCATTTCAATAAGAACGCTTTTGTAGGACAAATTTTTTTAATCCAGCTATGCTTGTAGATGTGCAGTTTTTGAATTTAAATGGATTAGAATAAAGAAGATATGAGTCAATCAATGTAATATTTTTATAGAGCTTCCACTATGGACATCTCGACTTCAGAATTAAGATTATTACAAGAAAGATTTAAGGAAGATAGAGTAGTGTTTATGCGAAGAGCCTCTGCAAACGCCATTACCCTTTAAATCCAATTGTATTATCACTAATATCTAAAGAAGTTAAAGTAATATTTTTACAAAGAGCTTTTGCTAATGCTCTTTCTCTTTTGTAACCAAGTTGACTTTCTGAATACCTAAAGATTTAAGTGCAGTATTTTTGTAAAGATTAATTGCAAATTCTCCTTCTCTAAAGCCAATTGTATTATAGCTAATATTTAAAAAAGTCAGAGTATAATTTATAAAAAGAGCCCTTGCAAGTGCTTTTCCTCCTTTAAGGTTAATATAATTACCATTAATTCCAAAGAAGTCAGAGTTGTATTTATGTGAAGAGCCTATATCATTACAACAAATTCTAGATAAGTTAAGGTGCAGTTTTTACAAAGAGTTTCAGCAATGCTTTTGCCCCCTTCAAAACCAGCATTATTCTCATCAATAAGTAAAGTTTTTAAAGTAGCATTTTTGTGAAGAGCTTTTGCTAATCCTTTAACTCCTTCAGAACTAAGTTGATTATAATCAGTACGCAAATCAATTTACGTAAAGTGTTCTGCTATCACTATTCCTTCCTCAGAACCAAAGTCACTAAATGAAAGGTCTAGGAAAGTTAAGGTAGTATTTATACAAAGAACCTCTCCCCATACTTTTACACCTTTAATATTGTTATAGGCAAACCCGACTCTAGGACCTTGGGAAACTAACCCGTCGTATCACGATGCCCGTGACCCAGAAGAATAGAACGATGATCCATCCCCTCTGCAAAAAGCCCGTTGGATCCAGG